ATAAGTGGTGGAATTTCTTCATGTGATAAAAATATCATATTTGCCAAAGATATTTTCCCCAATTTATCCTTTCTTAAAAAATTTTATATATGATGCTTGAATTTTCCATTTTCTGTACTTCTACTTTTCCTTTGAAATTTTTAATATGGTTCTTATGTCTAAAAAGTGAATTGCCTTATCCTGAAATGCAATAAATACATATATTTCTTTATAGGTATGAATTTTATATAATTTTCATGAAATTGATATAAAGTGTAATATAAAGGCATAGAAATTTTTTTCAAAAATAGTCCATTTTCATAACATTATGCTCTGAGGAATTTTATCTGATATTCTACCTTCCTCTAGGAAGGCTTAAGACAACTCACTAGAAAATATTTTCTTCCTTTCTTTTGCTGCAGTGCTTACTTAATCATACACTAACTCTTTATGTGCTAGTGTTTTAGGTATCTGCTGCTGATTTTTTTTCTGTTTACAGTTGAATCAGTATCACAGGGTCACAATAGTTTGATATCCACTAGATGAGTTCCTTTTTGACTGTTCATGTTTACAATTCTCTTAACTGTTACTTCCATATATTCCTCTAGATTAGGATTCTAACCATTTTGATCACTTCCAAAAAATAATTATCATCCAACTGTTTATCAGAATATTAAATATTAAAAATATTTTAGGAAGAAATGACATATTGATAATATCTAGCATGCCTAGTCAGGCATATGGTGTGTCTTTTTCATTTCAAATTTTTCTACCTGTAGTTTTTAGACAGGCAGTATACTTCTCTCTTATGCTTACTCCTTAATATTTCTGCTGTTCCTGACATTTAAATTTCACAATTTTCTACCTTTCTTATGTTCCACAAAGACTGTTCTCGTATCTCTCTACAAAAGATCTGAGAAAATTCTCTTACTAAAAATGATTTCTATTTTCTCATTATTTAAGAAGATACTTAATTAGTAGCATTTCACAAGTGGGAGAGTTCCTTCCGTGCATACAATAAGTGTCTTTAGGGCATTAGGGTTACATTCTTTCTGGGAATCCTGTTTGAGAATAGTAAGACTTTATTTTAAGCTTTTCAAACTCCTACTTTCTCACCATGATTTTCACTTACAGGAAATAGGGTGAGAGAAATCTAAAAACACCAAACAAAAGCTACCACAACTTCCTGTCACAAAATCTACAAATCTAAACCAAGCACTGGTGGCTCACTTCTGTAATCCTAGCTACTTGGGAGACTGAGATCCAGAGTGCCAAGGTTCCAGGCCAGCCTGGACAAAAAATGTTTGCAAGACCCCATCTCAATGGGGGAAAAAATTGTTGGGCATGGTGACATGTGCCTGTCATCTCAGCAAAGGCAGGAAGCTTAAAATAGGAGGATCTTGGTCCATGCCAGCTTGGGCAAAAAGTGAGACCCTATCTCCAAAATAACCAGAGCAAAAAAGGGCTGGCAGCTCATGCAGTAAAGAGCCTGCCTTGCAAGTGCAAAGCCCATCATTGCATCTGTCTTCTTTTCAGTTTTAAAAAAAGAAGTGTGCCTTCTTTTCAGGGCTAATTTCTCCACTCAGAAGCTTTTCCCTCTGACCTCCTCAGTGACCTTGAACTCTTAACTTCACCCTCATTCAGATCTTCAGCTTCTACCCTTTACTGGATCTGTTTTGCCTACATTAGAACATTAGTCTAATCATCCTTAAATTCCAAGTCCTCTTCCTGCTATCACATTTAATTTGGCTAAATTTTCTACATTTAGTGCCACTGTGTACTCATTTCACAAGTCAATCAAACCCCAACTCGCCACTGAAAATGCTCTCCCCGAAGTCAATTATCTCCACTTAACTAATTCCATAGACACTTTCTAGTTCTTATCCTGATGATCTTTTAGCACCATTTGATAGCATTGATCATTCCCTTCAGTTTTGAAGCATTCTCCCCAACCCACTCCTCAGCGTCTGTGACACTACATTCTGCACCTTCACTTCTCACCACTCTGTAGTCTTCTCAGTCATCTTGCTCTTCCTCTTCTTCACTTTTCACAACTCTTTTCTACTAACCTCTTCTCTTCTCACCCATTCTCCCCACCCTGACCTTCTTATACATTACCATGGCCTCAATCACCATCAACCTAGATCTTTAAATTCTCTTTTCTACTCACATATCCCCAAACTGCCCACTTCAAAGTTACCCTGGATGTTGCCCAACCACATCAAATATGACAAGTCTCAAATCGAACCCATTATGTTTCTACTCTGTCTTCTCCTTAATGTTTTCTAATTAAAAGACTCCATCTCTAGAACTATCTTAATCTTAACCAGATCTTCTTTACTCTGTTCTTTTCTTTTTAATTGTTGTGCTGGGAGTACATTATGACAGTTACAAAAGTTCTTACAACATATCATAGTTTCACCCCTCCATCATTCTCCTTTATCCTCCTCTACCCACATTCCTGGAATAGGTTCAACAGATCTCATTTTTCCACTTACATATATGTGTACATAATATTTCCACCATATTCAATCTCCTACACCTTTCTTTATCATATAGCCTCCGATGGATCTATTGGCTTCCTTTCTTATACTCTTTTAATTCATTTTCCATATCATAGCCAAAATAAGTTTTATAAAACACAAGTCTGATGATATCTTACCCCTTCAATGGCTTCCCATTCTAGAATTCTTAACCTAACCTAGAACACTACCTAGTACATAGTTCTACTCCTATCTCATTCTATATTAAACCATCCTAAATTTCTTTTTCTTTTCTCCTTCCTTCTTCTTTCCTTTCTTTTTTATTATTCATTTATTCACATGTGCATACATTGTTTGGGTCATTCCTCCCTCCTGCCCCCACTCCTACCCTCTCCCCCTCTTCTTTCCTTTCAAGATGCTCCTTTTGCTTTTCTTTCACATATGTTGGTATTTGGCAATGTCAGAGTCATTTTTGGTTTCTCAATGGTAGAGGCAAGGGGTTGCTACTGGAATCTAGTAGGCAGAGGCCACAGATGATGTGCTTTTACTAAGCATCCTACAATATACATGACATCCTCCCCAAACAGAACTATCTGGACCAAAATGTCCAGAGTGAGAAACACTACCTATGCCATGCCATCTATCAGAGCGCTTGTTCTTCCCTCTCTCTGTAATCCACTCCTCCTTCAGACTCTGCATTTTCAGTTCTTTCCTTTAACATAATTACCTGTGGGGAATGTCCTTATCCCCCTAAATTCAGTAAAGCCCCAAGGTACATTGTATAACCTCCTGTAATTACTTTTGCATGCATTTACAACTTTGTCCCCTAGAATCTATAAAACCATGTGTCTGTTAATTAATATCTTGACCATAGGCTTAAAAAATAGAACTGTGCTCTGAATTGTTTTAGGAAGTCAATACATCTCTCAGTCTCATTTTCCTTAGCTATAAATTAACATTGCTAACACCTACTCACCCTACATCATGGTTGTTAATGTTTAATGTATATATAAGTGTGCCCTAAATGTCTCATGTCTTAAGCAAACAGTGACGGTAGGCCATCCTAAATACAAAATAATGTTTTAAATTTCAATTTTGTTATGAAGATATTTTATTATTATTAGTTATGAGCTTTGTACAATGCTTAATTATGTTGTTTTTTATAGTTGTTATCATAAAATGCACTATTATTGCTCCAGCTTTCTGTAGATAATATATAGGTTGTATAACCTACCTAGAATTTTTTGTTTATTTATTTGGTTTTTGAGAAATAGTGTTGTATATACCCCAAGTTGTCTTCAAACTATGTCGTCCAGTCAGCCTCAAATTTGTGCTCCTCTTACCTCAGCCTCCTGAGTACTGGGACCATAGATGTGTACCACCACACCCAGTTTTTCTAGAATATATTATTTAAACTTACATTTATTAACTAAATTTATAACTGGATTTGTAGTACCCTTCTAAGAAGGAAAAAGTAGACTCCAGAAACATTTTTCTTTTATTAAGTGAAGGAAGGCTTGCTAAATTCATGACTAAAGAGCTGACCGCTCATTAGTACCTCCAACCTCATCAAACTGGGAGGTAGAATACCTGAGAGAAGTTACTTAAAATCTCTATTGACCTAATCTTCAGTGAACCAAAGTGGATTTCTAAGTCAATATTTTTGCAGTTTCACAATTGTTTATTTAATAAGAAGCTATTATTTCATTGATAAAAAGAGCAATCTGGAGGACTTTATTATGTAATTAACCATTAACTGTATTAAAAGTACTGGAAAGAAATGGGTTATTTCAGAGGTTTGGGGGCTTTTATTATTTCTTAAGATAATTTGCTTGCATCATTTCATCAAACTAATGGACTTACACTTTACCTCAGATTCAGATTTACCATGCAACACATTGTCATGTGCTCTTAGTTCTGTGGCACCTTGTTTTAATGATTAGTTAAGTTGAGGATAATGAGGGCCTTATCAGGTGCCTAATTAGCCATGCAGTCCCTAATGGTAGTCTAACTCATTTAGATAAGCTCAGTTTGCTGATCTGTCCTTTAAGGAGAGGGTGGTGATGAAGCCAAGGAAGAGAGTGTGTGTGTGTGGTTTCTTTTACTACTTTGAGTAGTAAATAGTATAGCGCAGCACTGGGGCTTCTTCGTAACTACTAAAGGTTTTTATTCATGTGTATAATACAATTATAAACTCTTTCCATATCCTCCACTTAGGCTTTCTGTTTATATTTAAGTAAAAACCTTTTGGGTCAATGATAGTCCTGTTGTTTTTGAATCTCATTAATATCTGATATTAGGTAAAAATCACTGAAAATTATCCCTTCTAGGTTGATTGAAAGTTTTTCATTAGGTCCATGTAGAAATTCATCAGTTACCCTGAGTCTAATTTAGCTGCATCTGAAATTCTCAGTTATTCAAAGGGCTCATGACACAATAGCATTTTTTCCCTGTATCTGCCAATAGCGATGATTAACAAGTATTGCTGAGCTTGTAAGACATATTACAGTGTAAAACAGACATGAAAGTAATTCTTACCTCATTCTTCAGTTTACTTCCAGAAAACCTTAAAAATCAGTACATTTTCCATTAGTTCAAAGACAAATTAAATTCAAGGAAATGCAGAAGACCAAAAAAAGTAATAACTTCATATCCTGATTAGTGAAATAATTTGGAAATATTTGTTTTTTTGTTCAAAGGAACTCAGGCACATTTCTCAACTTTCTAAAAACATGACTTTTAAGAGACAGTAAAATGAGAAATATTTAGAGAAGTCAGGTACGAGTTGAGGCAAGAACACTTGATACTGAATACTCGTGTGTTCCAGCCTGAGTTTACACTTCAGAGTGGGTAGTGTGTAATAATTGCCATCATGTTTCTTGTTATATTTGAATTTTTCTTAGTATAACTGAGGTGACTAATTTTTTACAAGATATTTTACTTTCAAAAATAAATTCGACTTTTAAGAGCTAAGAGTAATTCTCAATAATCATACCATAAAGCAATATCAGAATCAGTTTTAGTTATTCAGAGTTCCAGTATTTTCTAAAAATAATTGCATACAGTCATGGGTTTGATTGGCTGCCACTTCACCTATTAATGACCTCCTCCTGATAGTTAATGACAGCTTAGAGCAATGTATTCTTCATATTCATTTATGTTTTTCCTGTTACAGAGATCCAAACAGGTAATTGCTAATAATTGATTAGCAATGATTATAATAAACTTTTCATCTTGGGAAGGCACTAATCAAACATACAGATCTTTAAAACAAATTCTCTTAGAACAAAGTGCATTTTTCTACTTTATTTTATTGGATTCAACCTGAAATTACACTAAGCCTTTTGTATAAGCAAATATTAACTTAAAAGCAAATTTGCCTTTTTAATTTCTCTTTTTTTTTCCTGGAACAGTTTAGCTTGCCACTAATTTCCTATTCATTTTTATAAATTATACAATTTAATAAGTAATATAGACTATATAATTTTAAATATCCATGTAAGGTTGACATTAAAGTTTGACGATTAGAAGAAAACATTTTTAAACAAAATTATAAGGTCATTTTATTCTAAATATATCATGCATATTTAAAGAAATGCCGAAAATAAGTCTTGAATATGACGTAACTCTACCTTGTCAGGCCCTTTCCAGAATAAACGGAGTGGTAATATGCACTGCTCTCTTTGATGCCAATTCCATAGTAATGATACCTAGGGCAAGGACAGGAGTCAGCTGTATGTTAATGATGGAGTTTCTGAAGGAGACAAAGGGACTAAGGTATGACTGAAGTAACCACAGTAAGGACTGCAGTCCCTGAATGACCTTCTGAATTACCATAGCCCACTTGTTTGCCTATCCTTTACAATTGCATTCATCTAAGACCAGGAAAAGAATGAAATAAAATGAAGGGATTTCCAGTGGACCCCAGCCCAACTCTAACAATTTTGTGCAGTGATCAAAGTTAATGAGCACAGTTGTGGCAGACTGGAAGTAGTTTTCAAGATCTCAGTTTTGGTAGATGGATAATAATAGTCTGTTAATCTGAACAGAGGACTCTTATAATTGCTCCATTTTTACAGAATAGAAAAAATATCATATGGCATTGAGGAAAAAGAATCTCTAAGGTGTATTGGAACAAAGAGAAATGAAGGAAATATGAAATTTACGAAAACTACAAAATACTGATCTGATTTATGTCTCTTATTAGAAACTATAAAAAGGAAGCTTAAGTCATTGAAGACCTTACCAAAAGAGATATATTAACAGAAGTAGAAAAGGGAAATGCTCAAAAATTATGAATAATTTAGCAGATTTAGAGGACATTCAGCCAAGTATATTAGTAGAATTAGAATCCATGAACCTAAGAATCTGGAAAATAGCTAATAGTACTTCTTTTATCAGATTTTAGAGCTAAGCTACCAAAAGAAAAATCTGTATCTTAGAAGAAATAAAACAAGTGATGGTCAAGAACAAAGAAATCTCTTACAATAGAAGGATATTGTAATTTCATGTTCTTTTGCAAAGCTTACTATTTGTTCTATAGTCTTTATAGTTTAAATAACTATTTACTAAGGCAATATATGTCAAACATTGCCTTAAAGGTTGATAAGAGCTTCTTTTATGATAAATTCAACTTTCCTATTTCTCATCTCTAATATTTTTTCAACACACAAATAATATACCATAGTAAAGTAATTTTCCATGTTGACTGAGAAGAAACTACAGTGCCTTTACAGGTGGCAGACAAAAATCATAAGTCAAAGGCATGACAATAAATTCAATAAATATTAGAGTACATTCTGTGTCTGGCCACTGTGCTGGTTGTCAGTACCATAGTGAACAAACAGCCATGGAAAATCTGGTCAAGAATGTTCACATTTCAAATTCTACCCCAATTTATGGTCTACTGAGCCAGATTCTTGCCAATCATGGAACAGTGATCACTCTGACCAGCACTTAGGCCAAGTGTACTTCACAGCTTTAAACTACCTGATGATCACATTTGTTTTAAATTGCAACATCATTCAGGCTCTAATAAATATTGATGAATATGAATTTGTACTTCTTTTTCTTATTCATGACATAAAGAATATTTCCATTATACTATTTGTTCCTCATTTTTAGAAAAAAAAACTGTTTCATTTGTTCCCTTATTCCCATCTTCAATCATTAGGACAAGGGACCTTTACAAGTCCTTCTACCTGCATTCAGAGTCATTATTTTATATCTACTCTTCCTTCCCCAAAAAAAGTGTTTTTAAAGTAAGGACACTGTCAACCCAGACAGCTACCTTCAGCTCTACATCTGAGAAGCACACATTCTTTTCTCATTTGCAATGTCTCATATTTTCACATGTTGACATAACTGAATTTGTTCTATCAATGAAATTTTATAAATGGGCCAGGAGATAGAGAGTTGCTAAAAGAGTGGACTCTCTTACTGGGTGCTCACTGGTGAGGATGCAGAGAGACGCAGAGGAGAGTCTCTGTGCTGGAGAAGTTGACAGTCTTGAGGGGGAGAAAAGCATGTAAAGAAAGAATTGCAGTTCCAAATTAATATATGCTACAATTGAAGGGAGTGACAGTAAATAATAGAAACAGTTACCATCTGTTGAGTATCCATTAGAAGTGAAGAATTGTATGTGTATACCCTCTCAAACTTCCAGTCTTCAAGTAGAGCTTTATTCCAATTTCAAAACAGAGGTTCAAAAATATGCAGTTACCCAAAAAATTATATTAAGGAGTTATGGGACTGAAGGCAAAACTCAAGTTCACAACTCCATAGAGCACGCTTTATTTCAAAAGAGAATGTTGCTTTAATGCTCAAGATGTAGAAGTTTTATTTAACTTTGTATACCAAGTGTACTTACAGTTAGAAATTCTTAAGTAAAATATAGCGTGAATGTGTTTGCTCTCATGCACATGCTCTCTTCTAGTTAGTAATGAGTTATGCTAAGCACAAATGACAAAGATAAATCATGAAGCCCTACACCATTGATTGGGATATTTCATGTTTGACATTCCATATGTAAACAAAGCCTCCTTCTGGAGGTAATCTCTCTATAACAGGAAGTCAATAAACATTTTCTGAATAACTGAACAAATAACATGAAAATTGTTGAAAATAATGACAGCTCATAAAGAAAACTATAAATATAATTTGTCAACTAGGGCATAAACATATATTATCATTTACTTAAACATTATCAGCATAATTTAAATTTTGGTAGAGATTAAAATATCTCTTATCTAATGTAATATAAGGAAATCTACTAACTCCTTTAACCTTACCACCAGCACTACATAAACTTATCTATTACTGTCAGGATTACTTGCTCTCCATAAATAGCTTATGCATTTTACCTTTGTTTTATTGAACTCTCCCTTGGAATGCCCTTTGACTTTCATGTCCTCATCTCTTACCTGCACCTGAAGCACAGTTTTAGTGTATGAAGTTTTAACTGGTCTCTCAGGCAAAACTAATCTCTCTGTCCCCTGTGTTCCTGCTTGACCATTTGTCCCATTGTCACCTTATCCTGCTTATCATTAATATGTGTGTACATGGCTTACCTTCCCTACTGAATAAAAAATATTAGAAGGAAGAGAGCTGTATCTTCCCCAGTTAGAAATTATGATAAAGAAAATCCTTAAATATTTTTCAGATAAATCAAGGTGTTCTAGGAATTTGGAAGCTGATAAAACATAAACTTTCTTAAAGCTGATAGTTTTCAATAAATACCACCCAACACTGTGCATTTCAAAGTTACCAGTGAAATACTGAGGTTGAACAAAGGTTCATACCTAAATAACGTATACAAAAGGATGAAACTAGCATATTTAGGTAGAATGACTTTGTTAAAAATACATATTTCCATATTTTAAAGTGACCATTTTGTCAAGTATTTTGTAAGGCTACACATTTCATACCTAGTTTTTTCTGAAGCCACTAAAATAATCTTTCCTCCTTTAATTTTTCTTATGATCTAACTAAGTACATGTTCTCATATGAGTTATGATTTAGAGCCTTTCAGAAAAGATGAGACAGGATAATAAATGAGCACTTCTGTCTTCCTTGTAGCTAAAGATAAGCCTCATAAAAATGGGAAGAGTGAGTTCAGATACAGTGTACGGGGACTTTCCATCTCCCTTACATTTTATAACATGATTTTGCTGTCAACAGATTTCCCTAAAATAAATTCTGCTAGAAAATATTTATTAGAGATGGTGTGATATAACAAGAACATATGCTGGTGCATGTTAAATAAAAAGTGAGGTTTCTCTCACTGTAGGACAAGTAGCTGTTTTAATTTAGATATCACTACCTGATACCTGTCTTGTAGGCTATTCTGAATAAAGATTCTCAAATGTTTCACAGTTCCTGAACCCTATATTATTATTATCTATTTTTGTAAAATATATATATATTAAATGCTAAAAAAAAAATCCTGAGTATGACTAGCTAAGTTCTCCAAGAAAATGTCTATCTTGAAAATGGCCTTTCAAATGCAAATCAAAACCACACTAAGATTCCACCTCACCCCTGTTAGAATAGACATTATCAAAAACACCAACAACAACAGGTGTTGGCAAGGATATGGGGAAAAAGGAACCCTGTACACTGCTGGTGGGAATGCAAGCTAGTGCAACCAATCTGGAAAAAAATTTGGAGGCTTCTTAAAAATCTAAACATAGATCTGCCATATGATCTAGCAATCCCATTCCTGGGGAAATACCCAAAGAATGTGACACAGATTACTCCAGAGTCACCTGCACACCCATGTTTATTGCAGAGCTATTCACAATAGCCAAGTTACAGAAACAACCAAGCTGCCCCACTACTGATGAATGAATTAAGAAAATGTGGTACTTATACACAATAGAATTCTACTCAGCCATGAAGAAAAATGAAATCTTATCATTCTCGAGTAAATGGATAGAACTGGAGAACATCATCCTGAGCAAGGTTAGCCAGGCTCAGAAGACCAAAAACTGTATGTTGTCCCTCATATGCAGACTTTAGATCTAAGGCAAATACAGCAATGTGGTTGGACTTGGGTTACATGATAAGGGGAGCGCACATATGGGAGGAATGAGGATAGGTAAGAAACCCAAAACATGAAAGTATTTGATGTCACCACTGCAGAGGATCTAATACAGAAACCTTAAAGCAACAGAGGTCAGTATGAGAAGGGGATCAGGAATTAGTGAAAAGGTCAGTTAGAGATGAATCAACTTGGGATGTAACACATTTGTACATGGAAACAATGCTAGGAATCTCTTTGTATAGCTATTCTTACCTCAGCTAGCAAAAACGCTTTGTCTTTCTTATTATTGGTTATGTTTTCTCTTCAAAAAAATTAGAGATACTAGCAGAACAGATTCTGCCTGGAAGAGAGGGGGGTGGGGGGTGGGGGAGGTAGGGGGGAGAAATGGCCCAAACAATGTATGTATATGTGAATAAACAAATTAAAAAAAGAAAATGGCCTAATTATCTAACAAAATTTTGTTCCTTTATTAGCATCAGCTATTCTCAGCCTTATATTTTATGTCAAGTTATAGACCTCATTTACAATTTATGAATATATAAGAATTGTGTCCACATTTTAAAGTGAAAATGTTACAAAATACAAGAGTTTAATAGGACAAATGAAATTATTGTAGTTCTTTTTTTACAACTAAAATATTTACACTGTGTCTAATACTTTTCTTCA